ATCAGGGAGGCGGAGGAAGGGTCTTTTTCACCAGTTGCTGCTGGTTCCAGGCGCTCTGGAGAAACAGAGAACTCACACTTCTCAAGTGAGAGGAGAACTCCGAATTCAGAGGAATAACGTTGCTCATTCCAGGTAACCCTTTAATAAAAGGGGAGCATAGCTCAATACTACCACGAGGACAGCCCATGGAGCGAGGAATCCAACTCCTCAGAGAGGATTAACGCTCGAAAGAAACATCATACTCACGATAGCCCTCAATGGTGAGGGGGGCGATGCTTCAAGAGGATATCCTGGTGATCGGGAAACCCCTCAGGGCGACCCAGATACGGTAGACCAGTCAGGGTAGCATGAAAGCGTAACCCCAGCCCGGACGTCCAGGAAATTTTTGCAGTGACGCGCCGGGGGCCTGATGATCACAAAGGCTCCTGCAGAAGCCTGTGTTATGGCCGCATGATCCATGAAGTATGAAGCCGAAACCCGGCTTACTTACCTTCTGGACATATAACGACGAGTGAAAACACTGCAAGTCGAGCACCCGGTTTCTGAACCCAGCAGAAACATACAGGTCCCGGGAAACACTGCAAAGAAACTAGCAGAAGGGTTATACACACAACCACCAGTTCATTATTTATATATTTATATATACATATATTTTAGACATGGATCGTACTCACCCACCATGGTTCCCGCGTCGGAGCTCTGTCCGGAGAAGCCTTTAGACCGGACCATCAGTAAGGTGGTTACTATGAAGCCATAGAACCAACCAAAACATCATAGGTCCAGAAGGAGACTGTTATGCAGGAAGCTTCCACCTAACCTCGGTCAGGTGGAGATATGGTGGTTACAGGGGAATTAGGAAGGGGAAGAAAAGTGTAGATGTTACACCCCCTGAGGGGAAGAGTGGATACCTAAGTATTACTCTGATCCGGACGAAAGCGCTGACGCCTTGTCTGGATCACATCCCTCAGGTCTTGCCTACCTCCCTTTGACCCACGATACTTCCTACCCCTACCCGCAGGCGGAGGAGGAGCGCGAGTCGCGACACTAGCCTTCTGTGCTCGTCTCTGATCCTCAAACCGAGACGGGCCAGGACCCCTGGGTTGTTCGGGCTCAGACCTGGACCTTCGTGGAATGAAGGTTTTGAAGGCCGCTGAGCGCGCCTTCGCCTCCCTGAACTTTTCGACAACCGTCTCAACGGATGTACCAAAAAGTTCAGAGGGCGAAACCGGGGCATCGAGAAGAAAACCCCTTTCTTTCTTCCCGATGTCTGCCAGGTTTACCCACAGCTGCCTCTCCGTTACTACCATCGCTGCCATAGATCTGCCCATGGCAGAGGCAGCCTGCTTAGTAGCACGGAGAGCAAGATCCGTGGTGCGGCGCAACTCAGCCATCTCATCAGAAGAAAGGCCCTCGCCTTTATCCAGGTCTTTCAGCAGGTCAGCCTGGTATGCCTGGAGCACCGCCATCGTGTGCAGCGAAGCAACAGCCTGACCTGCTGCTGCGTATGCCCTGCCATTCATTTTAGATGTAGCTTGAAGGGGCACGGATGGCAAGGAGGGAGTTTTGAGAGATGATGTCTCACCCATAGAGAGATAGCTAGCTAGCGTCTCTTCTACAGGGGGCATTCTCTCATAGCCGTTTTCGCGCATCGCCTCGATGTTCGCATAACTGGTATGCTGAAACCGATGGATGCGTGAGGAAAACGGCCTCTTCCATTCCTTCTCAATCTTTATATGAAAAACAGGAAGAAAGGAAGGCTCACCTGAGCTGGAGGGTTATGGCCAGAAAGTAACGTTCATCGAGATATTTCGCGACGTCACTTTCTTCACCCGCTTTACGGCAAGTAAAGCCTCGCCGTGGCGCGATCCATAACCTCTAAGAGCTCATCATACGCAGGGCAGGAGGATTGGGAAGGCTCAGCCTCAGCTTCTTTGCCCTCCTCAGACATTTCCTGCTTTTTCTGGGCTGATCCCAGCAGAGCAATGGCCCCTGAATCAGACAATGTTAATGAAATAACATCATCCTCCAGCGGCTCACTCTCGTGCACAGCCGACGATCGCGAAAGGGAAACCCCTCTTCAAACTCATCGGCCAGATCCACCTGTGATCCCCACGAGCTCATTCCCTTCCGTGCCTCAGCAGCGGCGGGTCCTGAATTGCGGGAAGCAGATGGCTGCCCCTCTTTACTTGAAAAGAGAGACAAACGAGAACGGAGCTTTTTCATTGGAAAACGCTCGCAATGCACGCAGATTGCCCCCTCGAGGACATCGCGTGCGTGCTCTTCGCCCAAACAAACAACACATAGATTGTGTGTGTCATCTGGTGTCAAATAGCGATGACACGGATGCACACACTTTCTAAATGCTCTGCTAGTGCTCGCCATAATAAATAGAGATAGCCTCTTACTTTTTCCTTGGAATGCACGCTTCAAACAGAACAGTCAATGAAGACGAAGAAGAGAATGATGTGTGCTCCCGGCGCCTATTTATACTATAGTCGCACCGGTAGTGACGTCATGGTTGTCGCCGGCCAACAAGTTGGTGTTTTTTCAATGTATGCTTCAGACACGGGTCACGACGAGGCGTTCCCCATAGCGACCCCTAGAGGACGCAGTTCGAAGTTCCCATGAAAGGGAACTGCTGGACAGTGTATGAAAATACCTATTGTCAATGTAGAATATAATATTATTCACCAGCCCTGTTTTATTTGCTTATAGAACAGAAAATATTACAATGATACACCTAATATTTACCTTAATTTATACTTAAATAGGTCCTGTACTTTAACAGTGTGAACTTAAACAGATATTGCTTTCTATTTGTCTTTGTTTAAAAAAAATTGCAAACCTTTTCTTTAATATTTTCCCTGAAAATGCAGTTTTTTATTTTATTCACTAATAGGCTTCAGTGTGAGACATTAGATTCAGATGTCCAGACTCACAGAAACAAGAATTTCCTGTGGATCTTCAAGGTAGGAAAACATTTTCAATAATGTTTATATTTATAATAAACAAATAGGTTACTGAACAACGCTTGCAACAATATTCAATAGAACTTTGATTTCTGATTCATCTTGAGCATTTATGTTTCCTTTTAAGAACCCATAAAAATGTTTTTTTTTTGGGGGGGGGGGGTTTTTTTTTTTTTTTTTTGGTTTTTTTTTTTTTTTTTTTATTTGTTACAGGTCGTCTGTCTCCGGCCATGGTGAAGCGACTCAGTTTATCATCATCTAAACTGAACAGTCTATCCATTTTTTTTTTTTTTGGATCTTGAAAGCAAAATAATCACATTTCTGAAGAATGAACTGGAAAAGTTTAAGAAAATATTACAAAAAGAAGACTTTCAATACTTGGTGAAGGATTTTAACGAGAACAGATGCAGTATCAAAGAAGCAGCTCTTGATCTCACACTCTACTTCCTGAGAGAGATGAAGCATGATGAAGCTGCTAATACTTTAGAAGGTAAGAGACTCATGACCATCTGTCATATTGTCACTTATAAATGTAGCAGAGAAAACTAATACAAAAAAAAAAATCTGTTTTCAGACTGCAGTATCACTGAAGAAGGTTATACAGCTCTGGCTTCAGCTCTGAGATCAAACCCTTCACACCTGATAGAGCTGGATCTCACAGGAAATGATCCTGGACAATCAGGAGTGAAGCAGCTCAGTGATTTACTACAGGATCCAGACTGTCAACTGAAGACACTGAGGTGAGATGTGATGAAGTAATACAAAACAAATTAAATACAGGTGAATTATTTATAGAAATATTTCACTAATACAAACCTGCTGCATCAAAGTAAATTCAAGATAAACTAATTTACACTTCTGTCCATCAAATTTGGATGTTGTTTTTCATCAAGTTTATTTGGGAATTAAATTATATCCTACTTCATCTCTTCTGCAGGTTTTTGAGTTCTGCTGCAGATGAAGCCTGTCAGTATGTGACTGGAATTGTGGGTAAAAACCTGTTACTCCTGAGAGAGCTGAATCTGAGTGAACGTGAACTAGGAGACACACGAGTGAATCAGATCTCTGCTCTACTGCAGGATAAACACTGTACACTCAACACACTGATGTGAGTATTTTTAATGTGGCTTTTATTGCACAATTAATCTATGTTAAAGAAATCAGGTGACCTAAACACAGTTCTCAGGAATCACTTAATAGTGAAAACAAGCACCTTGTGTTTGTAAATTCTCCCTCTCGTGTTCATCATTTTAGTCTGCGTAAGTGTGTTCTAACAGAGGAAAGCTGTTCAGCTCTCGCTACAGTCCTGAGATCAAACTCCAGTCTGAAAGAACTTGACATGAGCAACAATAATCTGCTGGATTCAGGAGTGAAGAAACTCCAGAACGGATTAGAAAATACAAACCGCACACTGAAGAAACTCAGGTGAGTTAAATGAATGAACATTTAATTTTAATAATAACTTTTGTTTGTTTAAAGTTAACCCTCTCAAGAGCACAGAGGCCCTGACACAGTCACATGTGTTTTTATCTTGTATCAGTAGCAACAACTTGCAAGTCATACACACATTAATGGTCATACAGATGACGACATCCATTGAAACTGTAAATGTCTACTTTTATTTGTGTCCACTAAATAAAAAACTAAATGTTGTGCTTATGTAAAATGCAGGGGGGGGGAATTTATTTTTACTCTCAATATTAAAACCTGATTTTCTTAGAAATAGTGTACATACGTGTTACTCACATATTATTGTAGCACAGTTTGTGCTGAATGTAGTGTAATGAGACTTTTGCCATTAACCCTTTCACTGGTGAGTTTAAAATATTCTAGCTGTCCCCCCAGAGTGAGTTTGTTTAGGCGATCATTATTTTAGAACGTTTCCTCTTATTGTTTCCATAACGACGCATCATGCTTGTCATGTGACACACCGCAGCCACAAAAACACTGTAAGACAGATGTATCGCTTTTATTTAGTTTTTTCCTTTTTAATTCAAAATATTCACTTACTTGCTTACCATGTCATCAACTATCTGATATTCTGATTCACAAATACATGTGAGTGAGTGTATTTTGTTGTTTAAAAACCTTTATAAATGATCTTGATCGTGATCCATAATGTAAGATGGGCGCCGCCATGTTTGTTCGCGCTGCAGTTCAGAGAGTCCTGTCAATCGGATTTACAGCACGTAAATTTATCAGTTTCTAGAATAATAAAAATACAAATAAATAGAAGAATAGAGTGAACTTCATAGTTACTTACACTATGTGTATCTGATATGAATAGAACACATCGGCAAATTATATTGAATGGATTGTTATTGCTGCTTCCATAGAAATTCGTGTGTATTTTACAAACTCTAAATGTATTGTTTTACTAGCATTTATGTGTATTTAAATATCTGAAACCAAAAATAAACATTATGTGGGTAAAAACACTGCATAGTTGTGATTATGTGACTAGTGCAGAGTGTGTCTCGGCGCCAACCAAAGCACGAAAACGCAGTTTGAATTTGGCAGTTATGTGACGTCACCGAACTTTCTAAATCCCACATGTGGGACTGTACTCCTAGGGGCGTACTCCTAGGGGCACAGAAATAAAAATCCCACATGTGGGACCGTACTCCTAGGGGCACAGAAATAAAAATACCACGTGGGACCGTACTCCTAGGGGCACAGAAATAAAAATCCCACGTGGGACCGTACTGCTCAACAGGTTAACCCCTTCACACGTAGATGTAATATATATTCTAGCTGACCCCCCAGTGTGAATTTTTTTTCTTTTTCTTTTTAAGGTGACCATTATTTTAGAAAGTATCCTCTTATTTCCATGGCAACACATTATGTGTGTCACATGACACACCACAGCCACAATAGCGTTGTATCACAGATGTATTGCTTTTATTTCATTTAGCCTTATTTGTTCAAAATATTCACAAACTTGTTAACTATGTCATCAACTATCTGATATTCTGGCAGTGAATGTATTTTTTATTATTTACAAACCTTCATAATGATCTTGTTAGTTGATCGGCATGTTAGTTTGTGCCACAGTTCAGAGAATTGTATCTCTCGGATTTACAACACGTAAATTCATCAATTTCTCCCAAAATACATGAAAGTAAGTGGCTGGTGAGCTTGGAGAAGAACAGAGTGAACTTTATAGTTATTTACACAATGTGTATCTGATATTGCCGCTGTTATAGACATCGGTGTGTATTTTACAAACTATAAATGTATTGTTTTGCTAGTACATTTGTATTTAAATGTCTAAAACCTAAAACAAACATTATGTATGTGGTTGAAAACACTGCATACTTGTGATTATATGACAAGGGCTGAGCGCGTCCATCTCTGGCTCGGCGCCTATGGAGCCAGAATTATCTCAATAATAATTCACGCAAAAGACGCGATGCACACATGCGTAACCCAATTCGCATGCATGAGAAATAATTCACGTGCACGAAAAAATATATATATTCACAAAAACGAATCTCTTTACTGTAGACTTTCAGACTGCAGTATCACTGAAGAAAGTTATAAAGCTCTGGCTTCAGCTCTGAGATCAAACCCTTCACACCTGATAGAGCTGGATCTCACAGGAAATGATCCTGGACAATCAGGAGTGAAGGAGCTCAATGATTTACTACAGGATCCAAACTGTCAGCTGAAGACACTGAGGTGAGACGTGATGAAATGATACAAAATAAATTATATGCATGTGAATTATTAATAGAAATGTTATTTCAATAATACAGTTTTTTGCATCAAAGTACATTCAAGATAAACCATTTCTCACTGTTTCCCATCAGAATCGGATGCTATTTTTATTACACCAAGTTTAGTTGAATTGAATCCTGCTTCTTCTCTTCTGCAGGTTTTTGAGTCCTGCTGCAGAAGAAGCCTGTCAGTATGTGACTGGAATTGTGTGTAAAAACCCGTTACTCCTGAGAGAGCTGAATCTGCGTGAACATGAACTAGGAGACACACGAGTGAATCAGATCTCTGCTCTACTGCAGGATAAACACTGTAAACTCAACACACTGATGTGAGTTTTATCATTAATATGACAACTTTTAATACTTGTGAACTTGCTGCTGGATGAGTTTAATGTATCGTTTACCAGAGAGTGCTGACTTTTAACTAATAACTAACTCTTGGTAAATATTTATTTGAAACTGTAACTGTGTATTCTCTTAACACAGTTTGAATAACAGCAGTATCACACCAGAAGATTGTCGTGTTCTGACTGAAGCTTTACATTCAAACCCTTCAAACCTGATAGAGCTGGATCTGAGTGGAAATAAACTAGGAGACTCAGGAAATGAGAAGATCTGTCATCTGTTGGAAAACACGCAGTGCAAATTGGAAAAACTGAAGTGTGTATTTTCATTTATTCACTTTTTTACATGTGAATTTACATTTATCATGTTCATTTGAAAAAAATTTAAACAGGAGGCTTTCATTTCTGCTACTTTATTCACCTCAGTTTCACTTAATATTCTGCCTAATATCTTCTTTTGTGTTTGACTGAAGAAAGTCAAATTTTGGAAACAGCATGAGGGTGAATGAATAATGACAGTTTTCAATGTTGGGCAAATGGTTCATTTAGTCAAATGTTATCATTAAAGCATTGGTCAATGCATGTATTTATGGAGTCTATGAGACAATTTTTTAAATACCATTAAATTAGCATACATTTTGCACACTCTATGGCAATAATTTTTCTAACTTGTTTTCAGTTCTGTAACTATATCATTTATTAATATATATCATATATTATTTTAATATTGACGTGAACTTTGTGTTCTTTATTTTATGTAGTGTAGAACATGCAATACTTAACAGCTTCTTTTATATACAGAGTTTCAGACTGCAGTATCACAGAAGAAGCTTATAAAGCTCTGGCTTCAGCTCTGAGATCAAACCCTTCACACCTGATAGAGCTGGATCTCACAGGAAATGATCCTGGACAATCAGGAGTGATGGTGCTCAGTGATTTACTACAGGATGAATGATGTAAATCGAAGTCCATCAGGTAAAGATCTCACTGGCATTAAATTACAAGCTACCAGATTGTCAACTTACTTTTTGACCGTATAAATATCAGCAACTGCACCAAATTTTACATTGTCTCAATTTGGGCCTCTGAATAAAATTAAGGTGTTTTCCCCTCCTTTTCACAACAACAACAACAAATTTTGGTAATACCATGTTCTCTTTAAACAATTCAAACTGAAAAACACTTTAATTGAACTATAAACAATTATTCAGTGTTCTGTGAACATTAGGTTATAGTTATAAAACTAAAACCTAGAATGAATGATTTAGAAACCAATTCCAAACTCTAGGAACAATAAAAAACCAAAAGGAACCTCACACTAAAGCCCTATTTGGACGAGACTAGTTTTTCAGGGGCACATTAAAGAGAAATTTGTGTTTCACAGACGTACTTTGCTATTGTAATCCAATGCGAATCTGCCAAGTCTTGTGTTTTTCTCACAATTTCTGTAAAAATTCAAACGCAAAGTACCTACTGTTTTTCGGCAAACTCAATGGTCCACTGAGAAATCTAATCCTGTCCCAGTGCAAATGTCTGTGATTGCTGATATTGTATTGTATTAACCCAAATCTTCTCCTCATGTTTTATGGCCTACCTGAGCCATTTGTGCACCAATCTTCCACATGCTGCACTTTTCACTGTGGATGGTATCCAACAAAAAATAAAAATAAAAAAAATTAATAAGGAGAGCCAGATATATTTTATAATAAATTAAAAATATATTAATGCATATTTCATTAGACTGCATATTAGTGGCGTAGCCAGAATTTAAATTTTGGGAGGCCCATCTTAAAATGAGGGGGCTGCTCTATATTAAATGTAGACTATAAAGTCTATATTAAACATGCACATTTTCAAGTGTTTGTGCGGAGTGTGGAAGCTGAATCGCAGCTTCATGGAGGTGCAGGTATACAGCTGTACGCACTGTGTGTAGCCTACCATGAGCGCTTCGACTGAATTGAGAAATGTTTGCCCCTTAAATATTTAAGCAGTTATTATATGTGTCTCATATTTCTTTTGACTGAACCAGCCATGCCATTAATTATGAATTAATCAGTCTTTTGATTCGGTGCTTTCACTAAACTGATTATCTTTGCAAAATAGACTAAATCGATTCATGTTCGTTCGAACCGCTCTCTCACTGTTACTTGTTAATAGATAGCCTACTTAAAAACACAGAGAATAAATAGTGTTGGATACAGTGGATTCAATGCTAGCCGCAGTAAAAACACATTGTAAATACAAACCTTTTATGCTCTCTAGAGCGCGAACACAGATACGCACTGGATATATTTGTGGGTCCTTGGCATCGAACAGTTTGAAACACCATTGATCTGTGGACAGTGCGTTTTGTCTCTCTCACACAGAAACAGGACATTTACGCACAAGCGACTTGTCAATAAAATTGTTTCGGGAAAACCGCTCATAGCCTAAGGGTAATTCACATTCGCACGTTCTCTCTTCCGCTCTGTCTGTCTAACCCTAACTGAATAGCAACGCCTACAACAAGGCTACTTATCGAGAGCGGTGGCGTAGAGCGAAGCCACATCAGTGCATGCCATATGTGTCAAAACTATTTTTTGCTGTCTGTATTGGCCTATTACAATGAATTTGTATTTTAGAAATGGGAATACAACAAATTCATGCCAATGTTTTACATTCAAGCTATAAAAGTTATAGTTGAAAGTTCTTTAAAAGTATCTGGAATACAATAACACGATTTTTAAAGTTGTTTTTTCCCCCGAACTATTTTTAAAACATTTGCGGCATGGATTAAAAAATACATAATTCTGCTATACACATAGACCTACACTCTTAAAAATAAAGGTGCTTCACGATGCCGTAGAAGAACCTTTTTGTCTAAATGGTTCCATAAATAACCTTTAACATCTGAAGAACCTTTCTGTTTCACAAAAGGTTCTTTGTGGTGAAAGAAGGTTCTTCAGATTATAAAAAGGTAAGAAAGAGATGGTTCTTTAAAGAACCTTTGACTGAATGGTTCTTTGTGGAACCAAAAATGGTTCTTCTATGGCATCGCTTGAAGAACCTTTTGAAGCACCTTTATTTTTAAGAGTGTATCAGACAAATTCTAAAATTACAGTACAAATTTATACATACAATTATAAAATAAAAAACATATAGCCTACAAGTCTAGTCAAAACGAATTTATTTAAAGAGAAACTGAAATGCACCTATACATCTCATTCGGGACAATTATGTGTTTCCCATGAGAGGCTCAGGCGCAATCAGTTGGATTTTTCCGTATAGGCCTAACAGCGGAAATGACTTCAAATACTCTGTCATTTTTGGTCATACAGATAAGAATAAGACATTCAAAACTATAAAAGGTTCACTTTTATTTGTGTATACTCACAATAAAAACAAACTCTGCTTTTGTAAAATAAAGAAAACAAAAAGGGTGCTCTTTCAGCCAATTCAGTTTCCTCAAACTTGTGGTGCGGCTACAAAAATGGAACGAATCTCAGTGTAGACTTGTTGCACAGTTTGTTTGGTTTTGCTAATATGTTCATCATTTAAGTGAAATATATTTCGTTTAGGACTGTATATTTATTCCTTTTTTATTAAGTTTTTCTCCTTCACACAGAAGCGCTGCAGGTGCTTGATGTGACAATTATAGTTATAGTTCTGATGTTTGTGCTGCTATTTGCGCGTGCATGCACTTAGTTCTAATTCATTTAAATCTTATCTAACATTTTAATTTTACCGCACTGCGTGCCCTGCGTGCCTGTCTGCTACAGCACTGATGAAGTGGTAACTCTGGGAAAATTAAGATGTGTTGACATTTGCACCAGCAGTAGGGTATTTTGATTTTTTTTTTGGGGGTTCAATCGTGAATATCCACTTCATTCAATGCTGTTTTGTTCTCTGTAGTTTTTTCCTCCAAGCATGCCCTTGATGGATGTATTTACCATTTTGATTTTGCCGTAAGAAAAAAGGTTTAAAACTTTGTGAGACCTTCATTCTACTCAGCGTTGCTCTCACTGATCATTTTGCTTTCCAAAAAAATAAATAAAAAGTACCCTCTGAAGAAATCCTGCAGGTGTCATTTTTGGTCATACAGTCAATATTTACATCGTTCAAATCTGTTAAGGGTCTATGTGTACACTCATTATAACAACAAAACGTTGTGAAAATAATGTTGTAAAATAATGAAACCAAACAGGATTCTATTTCTGCCGTCTCGGTCCCTGTGTCAAAAATTAACCAATTCCGTTGCCTCACAGACATGGGAAATCTGGGGGGGGGCAGACATGTAAATGAGGCCCAGGCCCCCTCGTGGCTATGACACTGGACTATATACGCCGTATGTGATGCACGAAACCATATCACATCTAGAAAACACGCCCACCTCTGTAATAAACACGGGGATGTTAGTCCCGTCCGAATTGGTACATGAAATCACAGACTTCGGGTGATAAGAATCAAAACTCAAGCTTAGTTTAGACAACCAATCCTGTCCAAATAGGGCTTAATACACTAACTATGGAAACATACTAGTAGGAATGATCTATGTTTGTTTAACTCGAAAGCAACGAAAAGTATAGAATTACAACAAGATTATGCAATCTGAAATTGTCTTCTGCTTCCTGTAGGTTTTTGAAAAGTCCTGCTGCAGAGGAAGCGTGTGAGTATCTTACTAAAGTACTGGGTACAAGTCCATTATTACTGACTGAACTGGATCTGAGTGAAGATAAATTAGGAGATCTGGATGGGGAGAAACTCTCTGCCCTTTTAATGGACTCTCATAACAAAGTGGAAAAAATGAAGTGAGTGAACATGATTTTATAGACAAGATTATTCATATTCATGCACAATGCTAATTAAAAGTACAAAAAGTGTAATTATTTGTAAAAGGTGTATATAAATTAAAAAATATATTTAAAATGAAATAAGAGAAAAATTGAGAAATAAAACGATACAGTGCAATCAGTAAATGCAGCACAATGCTCAGTAAATGCACTGCTAAACAGTGTTTATAATCTAGATTTGAATGTGTCTACTGACTTTTTCTGGAAGCTGATTCCAGTGTGTAGTTGAGCGAACCTTAGTATACATTTTTATCAAATCCTAATGGGATATAAAATCATCTATTTCTTGCTTTATGTTTGAGATGATCGTATTCTGATTTAGTTATTACTTTGACATTACTACTGAAATCCAAAATCTCACCTATATTTCTGACTTGATGTTTGTTTGTTTTTTTGTATCCCTAGAGTTCTGGGTTTACCCAAGTTTTGGGTTTACCTTGAGAATTTCATCCTTTTTGTCAAATACAATAATCTCTGTTTTTCTTTGTTTATTTAAAGGAAGAATTGGCACATCCAACTGTTACTTTGATCAATACACTGGCTCAGGGAGTCAGTGGGACTGTAGTCACTGGGTGATAGACTTGGGTAGATCTGGGTGCCATTTGCGTAGCTGTGATGAGAAGTTTGGTTCCTTTTATTATGTTCCCTATTAAAACCATATACAAATTGAACAGGAACAGTGCGAGAACTGAGCCTTGTGGGACTTCCCATTTCATGGCTGTCCATTCAGACTTATGGTCGCCAATATTCACATAGTAACCTCTCTCTTCTAAGTTTGATCTGAACTTTTTGAGGACTGTTGCTTAAAGCGCTGCATAGTTACATTTTATAAGTTAAATATATAGTATACCATATAATAAATTATACATTTTTTATTTATTATAAATATATATAATGTATTATAATATTAAAAACCTGTTGATATAAGGTGTGCTGAATATTGTATATGCTGAATAAGATAAATAAAAATGCTGTTTTTGTGTTTAGGTTAAATAATTGTGAGCTGACAGAGAAAAGCTGTTCAGTTCTAGCTACTGTTCTCTCCTCCAAAACCATCCTGAAAGAGGTGGACCTGAACAACAGCTGTCTGCT